AGCGCTGTGGCTAGCAAAACTTCGTTTTTTGGATTGAAAGTTGAGAGAGAAGAGATGCAAGATGAATTTTGACTTTGTGTGTCTGAGAGTAGACAATTTTCATTTGTCTGAGTGCTTAAGTGAGTAGAAGTGTTTGGTGATTTATTATATGAATGTGGAGAATTAATTCTTTGAGTAACTTGGGCAATATTACTCCTTTGAGGAGCATGAAAATAACTTCGAGAGATATGTGGTGCACTATGGCGAGTTTGTAAATCACCCTGTATACTTGCGGACGATTGAGAGGCTTGTGGTGCATTAAAGCGTGATTGTTACGTATTGGCGTGACTTTGATTAACATCATGTGAATTTGAAGCACTTTGATTGCTTCGAGTGGGAGAGAATAAATTATTTTCATGAGTGTGAGAGAAGTTATTTTCTTCATGCAGAAGTTTATTGTGCTTTTTATTGCAAATTTTGCATGTGTATTTAGAGATGCATCTATCAGTAAAATGCTTAGTGCCAAAACAGTTTCTGCAAAGCTGTGCTTGCTTTACAAAATTAAACCTTTCTCGAGAATTTGTGTCTTTAAATAAGTTACACTGATATATTTTATGACCAGTTTGTTTACAAAATATGCAATTTTCATAGCTAGATTTATTATTATTTATAGTGGAAATATGAGCAGTTTTTTGAGTGACTTTATTATTAAACTTGACTGAGTTTCAGTGTAATTAAGTTTCTCTAAAACATCACATCTTTTTTCTAGAAATTCAAAAAATTGTTTGAGTGTTGGAACGTCCTTCGAACCTACTTCATATTCAAAGGCCTTGTAAGAAGCGAAATCTATTTTTTCTAAAAATATTTCTATTAAAAGGAGGTCCCAATGTTCAATTGGAACTTCGAGATTACTAAGAGCTTGAAGCGTTTGCTTCGTGTGTACAAGAAAACCTCTAAGTACCTGAGGAGTGCATTTGACTAGAGATTGAGACTTTAACAGCTTTTTTATAAGAGTACTAATCACTCGTGATTTGTCGTCATATATTTCTTTCATCTATCAGGGTTTTTATAGCGATAACAAAATTTGCATCTACTTCTTTGATGTTGCTAATTAAGTTTAAAGATTCTCCTTTGAGAAAAGATTTTAAATATATAAACTTTTGTACATTGTTTAAACTTGAATTATTTGTGATTAGAGTTTCAAATAGTTGAAAAAATTCATTGAATTCTGAGAAATTGCCGGTAAAGGTTTTCATGCTAATTTCAGGCAGCCTCGCACTTGGTCGCTGTCATCAGTCTGTTCGATTTCTAATTGAATTTGTTCATATTGTGTGAAAAAATTAAAAAGTTTTTCTTTCCTATTTTCAAAATCAAGTATTTCGTTTTCTGTGTCTTTATTGGCTATAAACCATTCTGAGATACCTGTAATTGATGCTTTAAGTGATTTGCGCTTTTTCTTTAAAGCTTCCATTTTTTATTTAAAGTGAATTTATTTGCAAATATATGCTGACCGAGAAATAAGAGTGAATTATTTTGTTTAGTGTAAATGTCTTTTTCAACTAAGACGCGATTTTAATTTTAATAGAGTATTTTTACTCGAGATAAAACAAATATTTTTCGTGAGAACGGGCTGTGAGACAATCGGTGTAATAAATAATTGTCAGCTATCTTTAGCAATATTGAGAAGAAAGATCTGTTGTCAAATCAAAGCCATTAGTGAATATAAATATTAGTAAACAAATAAAAGTCAAGACAAATATCTACCAAATGTAAATTATGTGCATGCAGTGATTATAGAAAATATAGAAAAAAATTTTAACCTCACCAAATGTTTTGTAAGTATCCAATTTAATTACCGCTATCACTTACCAACACATAACGCACTTTTCACAAAACACACGTCTAATCTTGAACGAAGATCCACTTGCGCAATCTTTCTTCTTGTTGTTCTTCGGCGTGTGTAATCCTTTTCTTTCTTCAGTCCTGTTTTATCAAATAATCCGACTCGAGGGACCACACAATGAGGGAGCCTTGTAAATGGCTACTTACATCATGAGAGTTGGAAATCTTTTGATTCCAAGTCTTACTTCAAAGGACTTGTGAATGGATGCATCTCCATAGGTTTGGTTCTTCAGTGACCGTTGAAGGATAAGGATTCTTAATGTGAGCAAATATAGCTCCAGAGAAATAAAAACACCTTTGAGTTTATTGATTTATAATTAAATCTTTTAAGAGTAGAGAGGCCCAACACGGCCGTAACTTACTATACAATATCAAATGTACTCTTTCTTTATAACACGTAAAAGAAACACCGTTATGAGAAAATGCCCGATTTCGGCGGAGAGAAATATTTAATACGTAAATTGCGAGTTTTTAACTACCCGCTGCGGCGATGCTTCGATGGCCATATGCCAACTTGAACTGATGATAAAACACTACATAATGCGTGAACGGGAATTTTACCCTTATTTTATTTAGGTGTGAAAAATATTTAACAGGGTCCGACGTTCTGTTCGACGTAACTGTTCTAGATATTTTACACTAAGAAAAGTCAAAGAATTATATTTTTATTTTATATTTTAAAAACAATATGTTCATTTCTGGAACAGAGAGTGTGCGATGGGCTATAACAACCCAACCACATAAAAAATATTTTGTTATGGAATCGTCAAGAAGCCTCGGAACTGGACTGAATAAAACGAGGACGACAAATGCTATGGAAATGGATACGAGAATGAATATATTATAAATATCTCATTTTTTACCATTCTATTTTCGTATTTTTAAATATTTACACAGTTCTATGTAAATTGACCTGTTCTCAGTGTTTACACTTTTTTCATACTTCAAAGGTAAATATTCAAAGATAAAGGCCGCTTTTAACAAAAGGTACTGGTTCAAAGACACCATATTTATGCTTCACCGAAACCGACCATCTAATTTCTATTAGTATTGCATTAGACGATTTTATTACTACTTTATTACCCTACTGCTTACGCCCTTTTTCTACGAAACCTTTTGGTCAATATAATGGTAATATAAAGTATAAATGGTCAATATAAAAATATAATTTTTGGTTTACAACACAAGCGTTTTTTGTGTCGGATATATTTATTTACATCTCACTTTGTAGAACAAATACCACAAATATACTGAAGAAAAGTAATGCCAGTAATAATAATTGTATACGGGACCTATTACAAACTATTCAAACTTTACGTTTCTATATTTGTGTCTCCGATTGTACCTATATTTTAAAGTTCACCCGCGCTTACAGGCTATCTTTTTTCCTTCCGAGTGCGTTCTCACTTCATTGTTCGCGCAGGCAGTTAGAATTTCAGACTTTCAGACTATATTTGGTGAACTGTAGTGACCAATCTAAAAGAATTTTGATAAATATTATAGAAAGTTACTACAAATACTCCTACAAATACTACTAAAAAAAAATTATAATTTTTGTGATTTTCAAGTATCTTAAAATTGGATCGATATCATTTAATTCTTACAAATTGCTTTTCTTGTAATAGATTTTAGGTTTAAAATAAAAATTTAAATGATTTCAAGTGAGGTTTAAAATATAACCAATATATTCCGAAACGTTATATGTATCTTGGAAGATCTTGATGACCATACTACTGTGCGTTTATAGAACGTGTATACTTTCCGAACACTACTATAGACACGTCGATCTCATTATATATATATATATATATATATATATATATATATATATATATATATATATATATATATGTGTGTTATTGTGATATTCAAAGTCTTAGTGCGCTAAGCAATTAATTAGCTAATTAATTAATTATTTAAAATTATATAAATGATATGATTATGATTCTATCACACTTTTTAATTCTCTTATCTCAGGGTTATATTCATGCTTCAATATCTATGATTTAAATGTGAAAAGTAAGGTCCAAAGAATACCTGAATAATAACAAACATATATGATATAACAATATTTATTGAAATAAAAATTATGAAATAAAATTCACACTCAAATGTTTTCAATAAACAATATCTCATATGATGATTCTCAAAATTTTGTTCTACGTACGTGAACCTTCAAAATTAATGGTACAAACAATATTAGTTAAAATCTCAAAATCCCAATTATTATTCTAAATCTCCTAATCAAAATATTTATATTTTTTCTAAAGTAATTCTAAAAATTGTGTTATCAATAAAAGAAAAACTGAAAAATGACTCTTGGAATATCTTCTCTTTACGATATACTGAATCTCTCGTTGGCCTGAACAGTGACTCTTGGAATATAAGTAGAAAAATATGACTTACAATCTTTTACTGGATCAGCTTCTGTCAGATACACTAACTACACGAAAACTCACAAACTTTCACTGCTACTGCTTCCCACCCTTGGAAACCAACTAACTATCTTTTTTTCTTCAAAAACTAACTAAAGTCTCATTCTCAACCATCCCACCTTTTTAATCTCATCCAATCAAAACGCGTCATACATCTCCCATTTCTTCATTTCGATAACACAAACAAATTTTTACCTATAATTATAAAATTTCCGAACATTATTTATAAACTAATCTTTTTCTACCAATTCTTATGAACTAACAAAAACATATCTTTCTAAAATGTATTCTATTGTCCTAATTACTGCACAAATTTATTTGGAAAACCCGCTTCCATTGTCTAGGATTTCACTTAAGCTTATTCACGTCACTCAAATATATTTTAACAAAGAAAATAATTTATGCATATCTTACGTTTTGTTCAATATAGGTAATCCAAAGATAAAAGACTTTCATTCTTCGAAATGTTTGTAGTTTATTATTCGATTTATCTGAATTATTTTAATTTTTAGAACTTTGAAATATTTTAAGCAAACCAATATTTTTCTTGATTTTACATATCATAACAATATATATATATATATATATATATATATATATATATATATATATATATATGCTTATAAGCATTCGGATTAGTTTAATAATATTAATAAACTTACCATTTAAACGAAATTTTTACAGATTCAGCTCCGATTAAACCAGTACCCTCTTTACGCCCCAAAAGCTCCTTACGTCCTCCGAGCGTTCGCCCGTCGAGTGCTCGTCCCGGAGCTCCACGATTAAGGATAGACTCTGCTCTGCCCATGCAAGAAGCAGTACCAATGGGAACTATCAACGTCATAGTAGAAAATGTCGATGCGTCTGCACCAGACGAAGAAGAAACTGTGGTCATAGAAACGGTTTCAGTAGATCCCGAAGGTCCTACTGAAATACCGCAGGTAGATTTTGATAACAAAGGACACTTAGTGGAACAGATCTTGGAGCAAATCGAAGGAAAGAGTGTAGAAAATAAGAAAAAGACGGGTATAGATTGGGATAATAATGGTAAGTAAATTATAGAGCCATCGAAAGATAGTGATTAAGGTTGGCTCTAATTTCCCTTATTTATAAGGCTTGCTAGTAGTGAATGACGTGGCATTTACAGCTTGACATTGTCAATCCAAATTTTGGTTAGGTCTACATTTTTAACAATTCAGAGAAAGTTAAGTAAAAATGGTATTTAACACATCAAAAATTATTAAGCAATTTTTGCATAAAGATTTAAAAGTAAATACCTATTCTGATAATGTTTTCTTGTGCTACGTTAAAGTTACATATTGTATGTACATGGGATTAAACTACAATTGATTCTAATAAAAATTACATTTTACATTTGTTTTGACGTTTCGATCTCCAATCCGGAAATCGTTTTCAAAAAAGTTTATTATAAAACAAGGAATCATTTTAACCTGCAGTTATTTATTAATTGGCGCTTTGTTTCAGCCAATTTTACAGGTGACTTACTTGGCCTCGATCTTGTAGGCTCATAGCCATATTTGGAGTGAAATTCTGAGGGTGATGTTTTACTCTCGGATAGATATCAGATTCTGATTTTTGTGTGTTTAATTAGTTATTAATTGTAGATGCTGTGTCTCTGACTTTCTGTTAGTGCATTAGTGTTGGTATATTCTTGATGCTGACTTGTGGATTTAGTATTGATAACCAAAGTCTGTTACATTCTGTTGATGGTTTTGCTACATACTGTTATATTTTTTATAGTTCTAATTTATTGTCTTTATTCTAATTTATTAAAACTCACGATAATTTATTATCAATTTATTAAATAACTGTACAACTATTTATTACAAATCATGAATGTGTTTTGTATTTATTACGTTGACACTGACCTCCCCAATAAAAATCCATGTTATTTATATATAAAGTGCTGTTATCTAGAAACATCTGGCTATGCATCGATCGTTCTATTCACTAGGTGACTCAATGAAAATCTTCCGTTATTTATGTGAAACCAGCTGGTAAATACAATGTTGTCATACGATGCCCTCCTCGACGTAGACAGAGCGGCAATGATCTAAAACTGGTATTGGTGCGGTTCCAGAAAGCTCTTGTTTGTTGTTTTTATAGCGAAGGGGAACCCTCGTGTGTCAGATAGATTTTGACCTAGAAATTACGAGAATCAATAAAAAAAGAATTAGTCATAAAATATTTACAGTTTTATACGCCATAACATTTATTATCGTAACAATACTTTTCTTCATTATGTAAGATGAGGGCTGCTTCTTTGAATTTTCTGCTTTTGCAGTCTGTTTATTTTATGACTATTGATGCATCTTTCCATTGTACTCCGTGAATACAACAATCCTTATGCGGTAGAAATCTCAAGACCATTAAGTCAAAGATTTCTTAACGCTTCAGAACTTTTGAAAATTCTTATAATCGGTCTCACCTAAGAAAATTTAGGTTTAATTTTGAATATCTCTTTTTTATCATCACATTCCTTATAAATAACTTTCCCGTTTGTTACAAAAGTAACTAAAAAGGCTTAGACGTCATGTAGATTATCTTATTTTCTTTCAAGTTTTTTTTTAAGAATAAGTTGTTCTGTATTCTTTGTGGAAGTGATTAACTTACCAAAATGGAGGGTAATCTTATTTTACGATCAATCTTGTATATTTATCTGTAAGTAACCCAGGAAAGTTTTTTTATCACAATTTATTATTTTTTCATAATATTACAAAACTTATTTGTGAGTTTGTAATATTCATAAATAAAATAAAATAAATATGTACATTACTACCCTAATTACGATGCTGTCTTTCGATTTATTTATAATTGAATTACTATAATCATTATATTTTTATAAATATATTTTAGCACTGCGTAATAAAGACGGTATTGCAAGGGATATTACACCACTACTTGATTATATTCAGACTCTAACGAAAACGGCCAATCCACTGGGAAAATTGATAAATTTCTTGCATGAGGATATTGAAGCGATGCACAGCGAATTACAATTGTGGATAAATACAAAAAAACAACTTTATGTTGAAATACTGAAGCAAAAAAAGTAAGAATTATTAGCTGTTTAGAAATTTATTCATTATTTTATGGTATAGGGGCCACGGTCAAATCAAAAGTTTTTAATTTGTATTAAGTAACTAAATCTGTGAAATCAAACACTGAGCATTGCTAATAAAACATTGCATTGCAATTTAGAAAATGAAGCAAATAACCTTAAATATATATATATATATATTTATATATATACACATCCTACTATCATTTTGGCATCGATACATTATGCTTGATACCGTATTGGTATTTTAAAATATCGGCTTTCTCTTTTTATCCCTTACTGAGTTATATAAGTTTATTCCAGAAAATGTTTGAGTCTAAAATGGTGGTACGGTGAAAATATTATATATATATTTAGTTCAGGGTTTTACCGTTTATTCGATGTCATTATATACATAAAAATGTATATCCCACCTTCATTATCAATCATTTTAGCATCAGAAATTTGGCATCGCTGTTGAATATAATATTACCCACAACGAAATAGTAAATTTAAGAATATATATTTTTTTTCATCCATAAATCATTCTGGCATCATATTTTGTTAAAAGTAACGGGTTATGATATATTGTATCTACCTATTGTATCTTCGCTCCAATTGGTCCAGTCGTGACGTACAGTACCTCAAATGATAGGATTTAACCAATCAAATACAATAAGACAGAAAAATCAAATACAGCAGCATGTCAAAAAGGCCTTAGTTATATATCTTCGTTTCTATAAGTCCAACCGTGACGTACAGTGTCTCAAATGATAGGATTTAACCAATCGAAAACAATGAAATAGAAAAATGAGATACAGCAACATGCCAAAAGGGCCTTAGTTGTGTATCTTCGGGTCTATTAATCTAATCATGACGTACAGTTCCCCAAATGAAAGGTTTTAGCTAATAAAATACAATAAAGTATAAAAATTAAATGGAGTAGCATGTCAAAAGGGCCTTAGTTATGTATCTTCGGTCCTATTATAGCAGCCTAATACAGCAACACGTCAAAAGGGCCCTATTTACGCATCTTCGTTTGTAGTGGCACAATCGTGACGTACAGTACCTCAAATGATAGGATTTAACCAATCAAATACTATGAGACAGAAAAATAAAATACAGCATACATCAGCCTGTCAAAAGCGCCTTAGTTATGTATCTGCGGTCCTATTAGTCCAATCGTGAAAGGGCCTAGTTATGTATCTTCAATCCTATTAGTCCAATCGTGACATACAGTACCTCAAATGATATCATTTGATCAATAGAATGCTACGACGTAGATCAAATACAGCAACACGTCAAAAGGACCTTAGGTATATATATTTTTGCTCCAATATATGCTATGTCAAAAGAGCCTTAGTTATGTATCTCCTGTCCTATAGGTCTAATCATGACATATGGAGCCTAAAATGATAGGATTTAATAGAGATAATACGATGGTGGAGACAAAAAAACATGGCGGCATGTAATAACACGGTAAACTGGCAGCAATAAAACGTAATAACCCACAGAGGTCTATAGAATATTACGTGACAGAATTTAGCGAATAGCATATGATTTGCATACGTCTACTTTTAGTCAACTACTGTATGCCTCCCGTTTACTGCGCACATTTACTGCTCCTTGACGCTGTGACGTAAATGGGATAGGATTTAACAAATAGAATGACAGAAAATTAAAAGACAGTGTGTCAAACGTAAAATGCATCGTAGAACGTGAAATATATGAAATATATAATTTACAAATATGAATATGAAATAATACACCAATTAAGAAAGATGGCGTTAGTTGAGGAAGATCAGACCAGGAAAAAAGTCAACATGTTCAGAATACTTAGCTAGTATTTTTAAAAAATACCTTTGGTTTTTAACTGTTCGCCCATGAATGACTAGCCATTTTTAAATACCACTTGATATTGCTTTTTTTTTTTATTGTATTTTTCCCATTTTTCAAGATAATTCTTGTAGGGATATATTTATTTATAACATACGGTCTTATGGTCTTACGAACAGTATTACGGCTTTAATTTGTACCACACTGCTAATTGAGAACTATGCTTGTAATGCAATAAGAGGTCCTGATATACGAGACACCAGTGACCATGCCCCACTGATACAAATCTGACAGGAATCTGCATTTCTATAAAAACAATAGATTATTTGTTTGGTGAATTAATTAAGTTTAGGTAAACGAACAAGACTTTCATTATAAAAGATTTTTCTAAATGTAGAATGTATACCATATTTCGTATGCTTTGTGAAAGAGAACCAGTTTATAACATTCCGGACGACGTAAAAACACCTTTTTGTTAGAATATTGGTCGATGAATTATAATCATAGTTTAAAAAACGAATTTATGTACATATGGACTACTACAAAAAATGTAAAACCAAAATCTTGATTAAAAAAGTGGCAACCGGTTACTTATAATGAAATTTCCCTCCATTATTGATTTCACAAGTGAAAAATGGGTCAACAAAGAACCAGTTTTAATTATTACAATATTTCAACATAATAGTTTTATCTTGGTTTAATCAGGTGAAAAGAAAAATTATACACAAGTGCTAAAACCACAAGCTATTCTCGATTATAACTTGGTGGAAAAGAGTGTTGATTTTAGTAATCAATTTGCTTCTTACCAGAACCCAATATCCAAAATTCTGAAGTGGTACCGGAAAGTGGCAGTGAAATTAATATTTAATACCGCAGTAGCCAATGCTTAGTTGTTAAATAATAGAAAAGGCAAAAAAGCGACAACCTATCCTTGATTCACAAAAGTGTCCAAAACATGAATACCTTTGTTATTCTTTATTGTTTTGATACGGAGATGCACGAAATTCATGATTTCTTACGAAGCATCATGAAGTTGATCTTGTATTTGAAAACATCATGGATGTATGAAAACATTTTGTAACGATGAGTCCAAGCCATCACCGTTAAACCAGCGTGCGTGCGAACCAACCCATGAAGTAGGAGTGTATCGACAGTAGAAAGGGCAAAACTTCGCTATATAAACCGCAACATTTCCTCATAGAGGCAGAATCGTCAGGTGTTGACTGAAGGTTCTCTTCTTCCCTACCCCGGATTGTGGACGTGTTGAGTTCACAAGTTGTTTCGTCCCATACCGCCGTACCCGAACCGAAGAGCGTGTTGAGCTCTTCATTACCCGTACTCCGAAGCAGTCGTGTTGAGACTGTCGAGGAGTGTCCTATTAACCCGAATCACTTAAGGGACGTGTTGAGTTCCTTTCTTTTCTTTGTACCTATCGTCCGCTGTTATTAAATCGACACAACGTTCACGTAAAATTTCAAAAACACATTCGCTTGCCGATAAGACTAACTTCATACGGCAAGGTCAAACTTAATTTGAATAAATATGCCAGGTACTGAGAAGACTAAACTAAATTGTAAATATGTACATAAGATTTTTGTCAATTTAATTTAAGGAAGACAATAAAGTTTTATTTGTATCTTGAACTCTGTCTCTGACTGTCCAAAAGCTACCCGGATAGTGACTCCTACGAGAGGACGTCACAAATGGCGCCCGAGCAGAAAAATTCGTTTTAAACAATAATACCGACCGAATTCCGAATTTTATTTTCATGAGACAGTACTACATCTCAAATTTTGTTCAAATACAGGGTGATTCACAGTTCAAAAATGACAGACGCTCCGGAAACGTCGAAGGTTAGTTGTATTTATTAAAGAAAGACCTATTAAAGAAAGACGAACTTATAGCCGAATTAACAAACAGAGAACAGTCGACGGAAGGGAATTTCAGCGAGCTAAGAGCGAGATTAGTTGCGATCATCAAGGCACCAACTCAAAAAGGCCAAAACCCAGAGGAAATAGAAGAAAACCAGATGGAAGACAGACAAAGAAAGATGGAAATAGTACGCAAATGGGGGTTACACTTTGACGGTTCAAGAGACCCAATAGAATTCATAGAACGGTTGAAAGAACTCCAGACAGCTTACGGCCTACAAGACACCCACGTTTTACAAGCTCTACCAGAAACATTAAACGGGAAAGCATTACTATGGTACAGAAACAATAATAAATATTGGAACGAATTAAAAGACGTCGAACAAGATTTTCGCAATTTCTTCGTTTCCTCCGTTCTCGCGCAATCTCTGGAAGCTCAAATCCGGAACCGACTCCAACGAAACAAAGAAGGAGAGAACAATACCAAACCAGAACAGAACACAGATCCAGATCGTACAATGCAGACAATAACAGAATACCGACCAATTCCAGGGTCAACGAAACACCAACCGCAAGATATCCGCTCCAACAGAGAAGCAAGATATATAACAAAACGACCTACCGACTACCAACCGATACCGCGGTCGAAGACCAGACCGAAAATATACCGACTACCGACCGATACCGCGGTCGACAACCAGACCGAAGATATACCGAACTACCGACCGATACCGCGGCCGACGACCAGACCGAAGACATTCCGTCATACATACCGGAATTCACGAACAGTCCGAAACGAGAGCAGCTCGACATCAGTACTACACTAAACAATACCGAAAAAAAACAATTACAGGAATTGTTACTAACAGAATTGGAGAAATTTAAACACATTAAAGGAACAACACATCTAACCGAACATACAATAAAACTTAAACATAATACACCGATCAAACAAAGATACAGGCCCCGAAACCCGGCAATGCAGAAGATCATAAACGATTAGATAGATAAGATGCTAGAAGAGAACGTGATAGAAAAATCTAATAGCCCGTACAGTTCCCCCATCGTCCTAGTAAAAAAGAAGGATAACAACGGATACAGATTTTGCATCGATTTTAGGAAAATCAACGACATTTCAGAAAAAGATGCCTACCCATTACCGTACATCAATCATATCCTAGAAAAGTTAAAATCTGCAAAATATTTTACCACGTTGGATCTAAAAAATGGATATTGGCAAGTACCACTTTCCGAAGCAAGCAAACCCTTGACCGCTTTCATAGCACCAGGAAAAGGACTATTCCA